TACATATGACACAAAATGGTTTCCGAAAACACAAACCAAGATGACTTTGACTGTCTCCAAAAATCTTAAAACTGTGATGTTGTGGCAGGGAGTTAAGAGATTTCTCAGAAGTGGATGGTTCCATAGTTCTAAGCATGACACACCACCCAGAGATGAGAAACAAATGCTCTCTCCTGAAACTGCAGTCCAGCAAACAAACGGTGGAAGAAACTGTTGGCCAGAAAAGGCAGGGGTCAGGGCTGCTGGCAATTTGCCCAATACCGTGACAAAAGCAAAGAGCTTTTAGCATAACTTCTCTCATTAATAGTATTGGCTCTATTAACTACACGCATACATTTAAACTTAAAACCACCAATCATTTAGATAAACCTGGGGACTAAAGAGACAGCCTCCAGCATCACATACTTCCACGGTTTTGGTTTACACAGCTCCTCATGGTGGCAAGTTTTGCAAATCAAAACCTAAAAGAAACAGAGTCAACCTGCTGTACTTCACCACAAGGTTTAATAATTTTAAATGCAGGCATATTCTACCTCAAAAAAGCAACAGAGATGAGTGGAACTGGGTTAAGTCCTGTCAGGCTGAATTCAAGGAGTTTCAAGTTGCTAATTCATCTCCCAAAATCACTCTGCAAGACTCAACCCTCTCTCCCATATTGACCCAATTCTCATGACACTGGAAAGATCTGCTAGAAACACTCCTTTCCACACCTTCATTGTAACTTCACAGCTCTACTGTCTGAGCTGCTCTCATCCCAACTGTAACAGCTTTTATTTCTGTGACAACTGGAAAAAAATTTTTTCATGGTCTAATCTCAAGTCAAGCCAGTAGCAGATCTGTTTACCTCTCCCAGGTTTCTCCTTTTCTTGATAATTTTTAATCAGTAGAAATTGCAGAGGGAAATCAAACCCTTCCCGCCTCCCTTTCTCATTCCTCCATGGTTAAAAATATAATAATAGTAATTAAATTATAATAATTCAAAATGAAAACAGCGAATGTGTTAAATCAGCATACCTACACATCTATAAAAATCACCAGGGAGCAGAGTGGGAACAAGCCCAAAGCAGCTGATGAAAACCTTCTTTGTTTATGTCTACATAGACATTCCTTCAGTATTCAAGTTAACAAATATACAGGGTATTTTCTTAAACCCAAACTGCACAGTTTATACATTATAAAACCATGTTTACATTCTACCCATACTGCATACATTAAACACAGAAGGTTGGGATGTTTCCATTAAGAAACGGTGAAAAGTCATAAATTAGTATAGAAAATATGCATTGTAACAAGAGACTCCAAGCACCGGCTATCTGTGCATTATCTCAACATCATCCGCTAAGTTATCCATTTATATAGTTTTGCACTAGTATAACCCATAAAAGGCTTTTTATATTTATCACTATCTTAAAACAGTAAAGACTGAAAAACTTCATGGAACTGTTTGAATATGGGAATGCTACTTGGGAGTTGGTATACGACATGTATTTTATAGAACGGAATTCACGGCACATTTAATTACAACTGAGCTGAAAGTACACATCCAATTAGTAAAAAAAAAACCCAAACAAACAAAAAACCACATTACAAACTCCATTAACACTAAGGTGATGTAGAAAGCTGATACGGTAACCACTGGAGTACTCATTCCTATGGAAGTTGAGATCAGCTAGTGTAATGTATGCTTTTTTTTTTTTTTTTTTTTAAAGCAGCATGGCAATACAACCTTCATATCATTTTAGCCCATGATCAGCTGGATCTGCAACAGGCATAATACACTGTTTTGGGGAATAACGCAATCACCAGAACAGGTAAAAGAAGAAAACCCTCTCCCACCACTGTTTCATTATGTAGATTTTGCAGAGTTAAAACAGATGCATTAACAAGTTTCAAAGCTTTTTTTAAAATTATTATTATTTTTAAAGAAAGACCACAGGCACTCATCATTTTCCTACAATACCTCCCCAAACTCAGAAATCTTCCTAGGCTTCACAAGAGTTCTGAACACATTATTTAGAAAAATTTATGAGAAACATACTTTGTCCCTCTGCTTCACTTATATCTGAAATTTTACTTGCATAAATGACCAACACTAGTTTTAAGTCACCTTTTTTTTTGTTACAGTAACACATATTCAGACTTGCTTGCAACACCAGTTTATTCCTCCTTCTCTAGCAGTTGAAACTAGCCACACCCGGGGCAATCTGGCTGCTTTCAAAAACTAGAGGTCAGAATAAAAACAAGTTGTAGTCAGGCATCCATCACAGGACAGCTACCAGGTGGCCTGCAGAATGAACCTTCTGCATCAGAAGATAGTGTAAGAGAAATGTAATAAACATTTTTAGGCCCTAAATTATTGTCCCAAAAGCTACTAAATAGGAAATACATTTCCACAAACTCACCATATAAGTAACCATGTAAAACACAAATACTTGTCTAAATGACACAGTTTATTATATTATAGCTGATCAACTATCATAGGATGCACTAAAATTTTCCTTTAGGTATCCCGTGTACAATAACAAACATTTAAGAGGAATGTGCATTATGCATTTATCTCATAATAGTTGAGGGATTCATTCCTGACTCTGTCTTGTTGGGTATTCCAACTTGCTTTCAGGAAGATGAGCGCAATCAAGGCAGTTGGTAGGTGCACACCTTGCAACATTTTGTGTACTTTATTACCAATGAGTAAGGCACATTATTTGTAAGGTGGATATTTCCATAGGCTTGCTCGTTATCATCTTTGGCTTTTTTCCTTCGCTTTACAGTAAACTTATCCCTCCCTTGAAAAAACAAAACACAAGAACTCTGGCAACGCTTCAGAGCACAAAGCTAGTTTAAATCACAGTTGATGACCACCATGATATGAGTTTTCCAATGCAATTTGAAGAAAACATTATATTTAGAACTTTTGCACTTTGCCCCGCACACAACTGGCTTAAAATGGTGCTCTAACTTTGCAAGATGTACAAACACAGTTTTGAGAAGACAAAAAATATATATTTGCTAGCAATAGCAAATTCAAATCTTGCCAAAAGATCATAACACAAATACTTATAAGAGGAAAATTAAAATTCTGGCATTTAAGTAAGTTACCTAAGAGAAACCACAAGATCATGAGAAAGCAAGTTACCAAGTAAACACTGATCAGACATGGATACCTGTAAATCAATGTAACCTTTCTGGAGAAGAGTACGCAGCAGTGCTTCAAAATCTTCTTCAGGTAATAAAACAGTTTCAAGGAGGCTCTCGACTTTATGCGGTAGTCAAAGACATTTTAAAATGTCATAATTAATTACACTTAGACTTGTTCCACTGTCAGCAAAAATGGAAAGCCAACACACTTAAAATCACTGCAGGAATATTTTTACAGTCATCCTTCCTATTACATACCCTGGTGTCAAACATTAGGTCAACTCTCTCCACCACTGTTTACTTCCTTCTGCAAAATGTATCTACTCACAGCTGGATACACAGACTTTCACAGATACAAACGGTCAGAGTACAGACAAGGAGGAATAACTGTTGCAGGATCAACTTGCACCACATACAACCAAGCGAACAACCAGCCCTTTTTCATGCTCTGCGAATAAGTCAGTCTCTTATATTATGTTACCAACCACACAATAATCTATGAGTATTTCTCATTCTCTCACTAGTTTATGCTGAAATTTTCCCAAAAATTCACATCTCAGAACTGTACAGTTCCATTATTTTAATTAAATATAGATTAGCAGTGTTAGTGTAAGAAAAAAGATTTAATGGCATCAAAATCATTCAAATTAAATCAAGTAAAAAAATGTTGCAATGCACTTCAGCCAAACTTTCACAAATGATATGTTATATAAATACAGACACGAGGTAGCTGGCTGCTACAAATCCACCAATTCTAGAAGTATCCAATTTGTCCAAAAAGCATAAGCTGACAAACACTAATTAAACCTTTCCATTAAAAAAAAAGAACACCTACTTTATTGCTTTTAAAGGTTCATTCTTTACATCGGAAATAGGCAAAGGCATATCAAAGAAAGTTACCTGTCTCTTGATGGCTTTTGATTATATTCACTTTTTCAAAAGAACTACTAAATTAAATTTTGAACGTAAATAGTTGACTCGCTCCCAATGTTACATGTTCTCACCAAAATGAACACAGGCTTGCATTTTCCAAGGGTGGGGGGGGACAGGGAAAGAAGGTATAATTTCCAAAAGGATACCATTAACTACTTTCTTATGAGAAATCAGTAACACAACTAAAACCAGTGTTCCCACCAGTCAGAATACATTGAAAAAACAGACCAACAATTGCAGGAAAGGCAGAAAGCATTCTAGCTATGAAGACAGTGGTGTCATGACAGACGATACATGGAATGCAGATGGAAATATGATGATCTGTACCACGGGTGTAATTTTTATTAGACCTTCCTTAAGTTTCTTTTTTCTGTGTTTCAGAAAAGGCAAAAGTGGAACAGACAAGAAAAAAAGGCAAGAAACATAAAAGAGGAAAAGATGCAAGGAAGCAAGAATCAAGGCAGCAACTGCAAAAACAAGACAAAGCACTGAGAAGTAGGACAGACTTCTGCAATGCAATCTGAAAACTGCTTAGAGGTCAAGTAAGCAAATTGAAAGTTATGCTCATTTCTCAAAAGAATCTGGAGGGAAGGAAGGGGAAGTGGATAGGCAAGGTTTTTTAGTTTTTATTTTGGGGTTGGTTTTGGGGGTTGCTTGGTTGGTTTTGGTTTGTTTTGTTTTAATTATACAGATATATATATATACACACACATAGTGCAAGCTCATCCAAAGAAGTGGTTCTACAGATGACAGAACTTACTCCCCTGCAACAAATGGAATACCTTGACCTCAAGTAAACTACGCATACAAAAGTGGTAAGAATAAAAGGTGCATGTAAAACCAGCAGCAATATTATGTTTGGCTTTCCTCTACTTCTGCAAGTTACTGTACATATATTACATCACTATTATAGAAATGGCACAGCCTCAGACACTTTCCACATTTTATTTACATTTTAAGACTAACTTTAATCTCAATCACATATCCATACATTTCCTTTGTTTCACTAAAACTTAAATGCATGGTTTATTAGAACAAAGACTGTAAACAAATATTTGCCATGTCCGATACATGTAACACACAGGAGCTGCTTAACAGAAAGTAATCCCCCCGTTTTATAAATACAGGTATCAAAACAATCCTGAACATACTTTGTGACACTACTAGTAGTCGGCACCCACACCCTTGCAAAATGAAACAAGATGAGCAATGGTATTCACTGTACCTGCTACTTTAAAACAAATTTAACTGCAGCTCTTTTACTAAGCAAGATGGATAAAGCATGCCATTTATATTTTGCCTTCTCAAGAGATTATTTTCAGAAACATATATTACTCCACAGCAATCTGACACTTTCTGTCATGCTTTCATCTTGTAAAACCTGAATTCCAATTTTAGGCTATTTCAGGCTTATGCTTAAATGACAGTGCCTCAATAAGAGAAAAAAAAAAAAAAATTGTGCTGCCTTTTTCTCCCATAGTGCCTGAAGACATATTGGGCATACATATATTATATATATTCTTACAAATGTCCAGGTCATGTATACCAGCTGAAATTCTTTTAATGTGTGGGTGTTTGCATTGTGAGATTTAATCAAGACATTAACATGAGTAGAAGGTTGTTGTTTTAAGACAGAAGTTTGAGAATCAGCTAAAATTAATTGTTGTAAGTTTGTCCCTCTGGAGGTTGTGGAAGCTTCATATTTTCTTTGGACATCATTAGACGTCTTAGCTCTTGAAGTACAACTTTAATGCTATAAGAATTTTGCCATTTTGCTAACACTGGTATGCTCCGCGCATCCACCTGGAAAAAGAAGAGAGAGTTATAAGTTATGACAAAATACAAAATCTCAACCTAAACTGCTATTGACCTGATTGTTCTAAGAAAAGGTCTAAGCATTCCCTGACACTTTCTCTGTGGCATAAAGTCCCTGTGTTCATAAAATATTTTAAGGAAAACAATCATATACTTACACACAGATACAGATTCTGCAATAAAATCCATGCAGGTGGACCTTTCCATCTCTGCTGATACTACTATTAGTGAGAAGGAAAGGGGTAGTGGGGGAGGAAGAGATCGGCAAACCATTCACTGCAAAACTGGAGACGTACCCTGTAAACTATTCATTTGCTTCAAATTACCCCCAAGAAAAAAAAGTAATCACCTTCATTATGTCAATATATACACTTGGGTTTTCCTCAGTTCTTTAAAAGAACCTGACACATAAGAGTCCATAGAATACCTTTCTAAAAGAAAATTTACCTTGTTTTCCCCTTGCTACAAATATCATTAGTGATTTATTTCACATCAATATTACATTATGCATCTGATACATAAAGAGTCACTATGTATACTAAGAAATGGCTTCAAATACTGAAATAATTGATTCATAATGTTTGGACATTTCTTAGTTCTTTGCATCCTTCTTACAGTAAGTCATCTTATGGAGCCGTGAAGATTACTGTACATCACTTACCAATTTGAATATGAACTGAAAGGAAAGGACATGGGACTTCTCCTATGCGTTTATAAAACCTGTGGGACAATTTACACAATTATATTATAACAGGGAGGTTTCCATAGGAAAGTCAGCAATTGAAAGTCAGCTTGGGAATTGTTTTGGCAGCAGGGAAGTCCTGGCCACCCAGCCCCTGCAAGGAGGAACTCAAGAAGACAGAGGGGCCTACAGCTGTGCAACTGCAAAGCAGACCCACGGGCAGGAGAAGGGCTACTGCACTCTACTGAACTCCATTGGCAGAGTAGCACAGGCAGCCTACGTGGCTACAAAAGTGCTGGAAACAACTGCTTTATGATTTAGGCAGCATAAAACATAAAGAAGTTTCATATCCCATCTTAATTAGGGCAAACTGAAAGAAAAAAACAGCGCTGGAATCAGAAATCAGAATGTTAACACATACATTTTATTTCTAGATTGTTCAAGGTGAGGCTGTCTATTTTCAGAACACCAGATGAGACTAAACCTTTTTGTAGGAGGAAGCTGAGGCCAAAGTTTAACAACACACAGGCTTGGGGAGCAATACTAACCCAAGAAACGTCTGCTCCCTCTCACTAGGCACCTGTTCCTTTAACAGTGCTATCGCCTATCAGCTCAGGTGAACCATGAAATGTATGTGGAGCTGCTTTCTGACCTGAACTGAGAGAACCCACCAGCTTAAAAAAACAACTTGGAAAGAAGTCCCTAAGCAGGATCCAATTCACAGCTCAGCACTATAAGCATTTCTCTTCACGTAAGTAATATTCTGCTCAGAGTTGGGAACCTCTTAAAGTCCGCAGAGCTGCCAAAGACAGAACATCATCAAACTACAGTATCAAAGGCAGTCAGATTACTTAATAATTATTTCAAATATTAATAAATTAGGAAGAAAAAGAACATCAAAAAGAAAGCTCCATTATGCATCAAGATCATGCCAGTTTAAAATACATGAGTGTACGAGCTAATACAAAAAAGGTTTTGAAAGTAACACTGGTCAGACCATCACTGTAATTCCTGGACAACTGCTACTTTTTTAAAGGGGTATTTGGTTTAACGTGGTAGATAAGAGGCAATATCAGAGCAGAATAATCTTTACAGCTGGAAAACAGGTTCTCTTTTCTTGAAAAACAGACTATTCGATAAAAACACCAGTCAGTAAAAGGGAAATTCTGATAAGAGATCACCTGTGTTATCAAGTAGCAGCTTAAGTAAGCCATCATTTAGCCTGAACCTTTGCTCCGACTACGGATCTCTTCCTTTCCAATCCTTCTAGATAAGATTAAAGAAGGACACCCCAGAGCTTCTAGCCAACAAGCTGTTCCTAGCAAGCTAAGAACAACATGAATTCATTTCGAAAGTTAGAATAGTAAATATCACACTACTCAAAATTGTTCTCCATATAGAAAATGCCACAAGAAATGCATGAGACCACCATTTTTCCTCATGGGGTCCTAAAGCAAGAAGAAAAACTTTATGGTGGTTAAGTATCATGGTAACAGAAGAAATAAGGGCTCAGATCTTATCTTCACTTCGCATATAGTTGCAGATGTTTAAGAGCTTATTTCTCCCCTCTTGCACACAGACACACTTATTAACATTTGTTAATATTTCTCTGCAGCTAACCTGACAAACCTCTTCACTTTAGCAAAACAGAACAAAACGTGAGAGAACTCCCTGAATGCTTTGGTGTAAGTCCTATAGCAAACTAGTAGTTTAAAAAAATTCTCATGTTAGTCTGAATCACAGTACTTTCTACTAAAGCAGTTGAGGAAAGATCACATTATGTGACCTGCCAAAAAAAAGAAAAAAAAAAAATCAATAATAATAATCTCCCTGAGAAAAACAGTGGGGAAAGAAGCCACAGCAAATGACTATCAAGGACAAAGTAATGGTTGCAACAGAAGGTTCCCAACCAGGAAACATGTGCACTTGGTGGTGGAAGCCCATATGATAACAAACTGTTTCAGAAGACCACTGGTAAACCAACATGGATAAGAAGAAAAAAGTAGGTTTAGATTTTGGTAGGTTTGAGAAACAAAACTAATATAATTGTCAGTTCAGATAAAGACTGGGTTAGCAAAAAAATGGCTGGAAAGGCAGTTGCTCTGGGACTTCACAAATTAATGTCTATCTTCAGCCTGGCAATTCTGCATTCATACCATCTTCCTTCTCCTCAACTTTGCCTTTGTAGGCTCTCTGAAGTCTGGAGATCTGCCTCAATTACAGCACATAGCAGTCAGTCACCAGCGCTGTTCAAACGATGCAATTCTATGTGCACTGGTTGTACTGGAATATCAGACCTGATCACGTAAAAGTGAGCTCCTGCAGCTTTTCTTTCTTGGCTGGGATTTTGTAACAAACTCAGACTGTAAGCTCTGCATTAACAATGTTATGAAGATTTTCTGAGCAAAGATTGCTGCAACATGACATTTTTGTTGCTGTTTATCTCAAGTCTCTTCTGCAAGTCACCAACTTTTTTCATTACATCTTGCAGCAGTAAAGATTTTGGCTCAGGTTCTGTTTTCTGTGTTGCCGGGTTTAATTCCAACCTAGTGCACAATAAATTCACTTCATGAAGAACAATGATAAGATATCTGGAAGAATGACACAAACTATGCTCAAATCACACAAAAACATTAGGTAACATGCAAGTACGCATCTGGGGGCACAGAGAGAGAAATTTTAAGGTCACATAAAAGACAGTAAAGCTGAAACTGCAACCTGAAGACTATTTTACTCTGGGGGTACACCACTGTAAATCCTTAAACAATAGCAAGAGAAGCAACAGATATAATGCATATTTTTTCTAAACAATTGAAATTAAACCAAATAATTTTACACAATGCTGCAAATTATTCAGTGTCTATGATGTTCCCAATATCTTAACTTCCAGAAGTAGCAAACTGCTTAGTCTACAATAAACATACTCGAAGCAATAACTGGACAACAGTTTACAGGTTTATAGCTGACAGAGTCCCAAGTGAGTTTAAAGGAAACAAACATTTCCAGCTGTAAATGGTATCTAAATGAACACAGGCGATGGAAATCCTGCAAGACAGACTGACAAAGAGTGCTCTCACAGATGCAAAAATCAGACATCCTCACAAGACCATGGGAAAATAAATAGCATGTCAGAATGCAACCTGTGTTTCATCAACACAGGATACACAAGCCTCCAAGAGAAAAGACCCTGCAGCATTAAGAATGATAATTTAAATACAGTCTTACAACAGTGATGCCATCAGCATATCAAAGCATTTTGTCTGGTGCTACATAAGCACTTGGACTAGCTTTGCTGAACTTAGTACCCTAATTCTGTATACAAATGCAGTAGCTCCATAGGCAAACTGAAAAGCAGAAAATCACAAAAACTAACTTGCAGATAGGAAAAGGAGGGCAATTTACAGGGGGACTCAGAGCAACTAGATTTAGCCTCTTCAGATAAAATACTCCTGAAGTAGTCCTCTCCTTTCCTGCACTAAATTTATCAAAGAGTGATCTCTGGGATCCCAGAAGATATGCTGCTGATGGAAAAGTTACTTACAAGTAAAACTCTCTCAGAATAATAAAACAAAAAGTCAATAAACTTGTAACTGTCAGTATCGATAAAGTCATTACACACACATAGTTTTCATGCAAAGTGTAAAGGGACTTGTAAGTCAAGAAGGTTAAGAACCACTGCCCACCACGCAGTATGACACTACCTTCCTTGGACCCCCCGGTAACTCTAGCACATATCCATCTCCCCCCTCCAACATTCACACTTCTACTCAAACAGAAATTATCACCCTCTAAACCCACACTGGGGGCCCTACTTTTCCTCAGGTGTTAACTGGCACACACCTCCTGTAAAGCATACCTTTAACATTACAAATGTTTTGAGTAGTATGATAACACTGCTATGGCATACAATTTTGGTTGCTGCTTCTCTCAGGTCTCTTTTCTGCACGTCACCAACTTTTACATGACATTTATAAGCAATGTGAACAAAAGCTGTCCACGTGGCAAAAACCAGTGCATGTAGAAGCATGGATGGTAGAGCTTGTCTGAAGATGAAACCCTGTAATTCTTTCAAAGAATGCAGGAAGCCGCTTATGATCTATTAACTGAAAGACGATCAAAAAGTGGGAGAGCAGCTTGGAAGAAACAAGGAACTAAAACAGGAAGCAGCAACGTGAACTGTTCCAGGATGCCAAATGTGCCCCCAGTTCACGTGAGAGATTCTAATGAGTACAACTCTAGCGAGCACAATGGCAAAATAAGCTAAAATGCAAGATACCAGGACAATGGGCACATTAAAAATTACATAATAAATGCATTTTAAATTCATTAGTTATGAAAACTGTTTTCATTAAAAATACTATCTAGTCCTATTTGAATGCATTAAAAAAAATAACATGCATTTGCATAGCAAATCCTTCATAAGATATAAGTTTATAGAACTGTTGCAGAAAAATTGAATGAATATTTTGTAAAAGCTCATAAATTTATTAAAATAGAATTTTCCCGTAGTGATGAATGGATTTTAACAGCACTCCTAAAATGACCAGGCATGTCACAGTATTCACCCTGTTCCTCGGCAAGCTGAGGGAGTGTAGTCTTGTCCAAACAAAAGCTCAAGCCAAGTGGCTCAGTAAATATGAGCCTTCAGGCTCCGCAGGTCTGAGATTCTGCTTCTGGAAACAAACTTCTACACTCTTAGGCATGCACAGATGAAGCAACAAGAGCATACGTGTTTACTGATTCAGAATAATACATGTTACTAGGGAGAGGTATAAAAATGGCATTATAAGCATACCAAAAGCTCTGCTGCATTTTAGACTGGCAGCTTTTGCTAGTCACAGACTCTTTATAAATACGTATATTTAGACAACAAGTCACAGCTGCAGTGAAGGGCAACAGCTGGTTTGTAAACAGCAATTTTAATAAGATCTTCACGTATTGTAAAATTTTTGGCTACACAAGAAGTATTTTCAAATTAATTTTAGATTATTTCTGAAGCATTAGTGCACTAGCTTTGGATGCCCAACCATGCACTACCCTACCGCCTACAATAGTTCAAATGCATCCCTGAGAACCTCTCCCTCCACTACCATCATTGAGATACTGAAGCTTCATATTTCAGTACTGTTAATTACACAAATGCAAGCCCACGTTTCTTTTAAATCTTGCAAATTATTTAAAATCCAAAGATGCTCCCTGACTCACTTTTAAGTATTACCTTAACCCAATTACTTTGCATTCACTCCAAACAAACGTACACACAGATAAGTGTGTACACAGATATTATTGTATTTACTGCTGATATATGCATACGCCACTTTAAATGCATGAGAGCTCACACTTCTCACTGAGCAATGGGGTACCTCAGACTTAATCACAGGATTAAAGTATCTAGTGAATAATGGAGTAACAAACTTGCTTGAGCTGCTGCCATTGCTCATGTACATGAATTCATCCCACCGTGAGCAATCAGTGAAAGTAACTTATTGCAAATTGATCTTTAAAATGAAAGCTATTGCCACCTATATCAAAAGATCTTAAAACTGAAGCTCAGAATCACCCTGGATTTGAATAAACCCAGTATAAAGAAAATAAGAGTTTAAATACATTGGTTCATTACAGGTGAGTTACTACATCCAGAGTGATATTCATCAGGAATAATATCCATTTCTAATTACTGGAAACATCACATAAAGTTTATGATATTAATTAGATAGATATTAATAGATTAATAATACAATATTAATCTAATCCCCTTTTATAGGAGTACTACAGGGGAAATACCTACAAATAGCTTAAATACTTATTTTTTTCTGTTCAAAACTAAAGTCTTCAGCTTCATTTAAAAGAAACAGCTGTTTCAATACTATAAATAATGCTCATCTCATTGATAAACCACTAAGAACCACTAACATATTGTAAACACCTAAAGATCTGAAGCAGTAGGTAACCAGAATTTTATTTAAACCAAGTATTTATATTGTAAAATTTAAATATGAAAGCTCTGTCCAAGATGCATATTCCTCACCTGGGTTTTTCACAGAAATAATTTATAGTACAGATTAACAGCATGGTTGATCTTACCATTTCAACTTACCATTCCATTGGAATTATTTATTCCATTCATATTAATTTTAGTTACAAATCTAACTGTAGGAGGTGCTTCTGGATATTTAGGTCCACACTCTACTTTCAGACTGTATATTCTGTTTTCATAGTTTGTCTAGAAAGCAAAAAGACAGACTAATGCATCTTACTGAAAGGTGAATATAATAAAAAAAAAAAAAAAAAACAAAGCAAAGGCAAGAGGAATAAAGATTAAGAAATACGAATTAATTATAAACCTGTTAATACTATGTACCAATTGATGGTCTTGGATTACTGGTTGATATTCCACTGTTTTGGTTATATTTATTACTTGATAAATATTACTACTTATTGACTATACCATAAAAATACAATTTGTTTTTTAATTCACATCTGCTCTTATCCTTCCTACCCACCTGCATTCCTAAAACAACTTTGGCACAGTAGGACGCTGGGAGAAAAATCTAACACTGCAAAAAAAATTGAAATGGAGAAAGACGAAGATGCCAACAACCCAGCAGTTAAGACACAATCAAGAACAAGATGAAAATAGTATCTGCAAAAAACATATTCTGGAATTAACACTCCAGAAGACATCTAAGACCTCCACAGCTGAGGATTGCTTGGTTTACTAGAGAATTTATGAACTTTGGACAGTAAAGTGACAGCTACTTTGCAGAAGATGTCACTCCAAAGTGACCATGGAACAGATCATTCTAAGTGCAAATACATTTTGCGAAAGTCCAATTAGAAATTAATACAGTTCTTTTTTTAAAAAATCTTGTCAAGTAGGCCATGCACAACAAAAAAGTATCAGTGGCTTTGCTGGTCAGTGATGCACACATCTCGGTGCTCCAGAAGATAGACTTTCTACACTTGTCTTTCCACTGGCACAACAGATACAGTTAACATGAACCAAAAGCAGCAACATGCCCCTGAGCTTTCTGGAAGCACCATCTTTAAGCTGTTCTGCATCAGCCAGCTGTTATTCTCCCCAAGCAGAAGTATCACCACGCAGTCAATTTACCAAATGACAGTCCACCCTGTAGTCAATTAAACGGCAGAGTGGAAATCGGACCACTGAAGCACTCTAACTGTGTCCTAAAATTTTGAAGAGCCACAGAGACTGAGCAGCCAGTGGGTCAGAAAGAAACAAGGCAAAGCAGGACATCCTTTTGTTAGAAAAAAGGTTTTCTATTAATTCTTTCCCATTAAAAGCTAAACTCCCAAAAAAAAGTAATCTTGTTCTGCTACAGGTAATACAGCTGCTACCACAGCAAGAAAAGACAGTAACAAAAATTTTCATTATTCACTGAAATAAAACAATTTACTTCCCCAGAGAGGGATGCTGTCAGTTATAGGAGAAATAGGCCAAAATGTATACACACTGCTCACAACTCCAAAAAGTCCCAAGAACAGCACTCATTCCCTTATTCCTATCCAGGTGGCTTCTCAATTTTGTTCAGTTTTCATCACTGTTTTACTGCAAGCCAAGTATGCCTGGCCAGCTCCCCAAAAAGCCTAAAAACCCATTTTAGAGAAGTCAGAAAAATGTTTCCTTTAATCCAAAACAAATCTTCCCCTCCTCCCTCCATGTCGGTTCACCTTCAAATGAAGCAAGAAAAAAAGCCCGATAAGGAATTTTTGCTCCCTTCTACACAAATCATGTATGTGAAGAACTTCACGCTGTGGATGGTATTAGCAACTTTCTCTGTGTTCTGACTAACTGCACACTGTCTATATAACTCAGTCAATTACAAAAACACCCATCTTCTACAAATCTGAAACTGGATGTGCAATCCTTCTCAAGGTGCCACCAATGGCTTGGGAGCTGGTGGCTTTCACTTTCTACAGCCGCCATGTACTGCAAGGCATTCTATCAGCAAGATTGCATTTCCCTGAAATGGCCCAAAATACTAGTTGTGTGCACTCTTTCATAAAGAAAATAAAATGACAGCAATATAAATTCACCATAATTAAAAGCACATCCCAGGTTGGTTTTCAGTTTTTTATTTTTTAAAACATATGGGCTCCTACATAACAATCACTCCCTTCAAAGATGTGCTAGGAGTCTACCCTAGGTTGAACCAGAAACCAGTCACGGGCAATTCTGGAGACTGTTTGGAGAGTCAGGGAGACACTACTTTAGCTAGCTCACATTTGCAAGTTCTTTTGAAAATCCGTAAGACTACAAACTTCCTTCAAAATGTATTCAAACATTGTGATTCCACAGAAGCTAGTGTCCAAAGCATACACTCATTACGCTTATATTTTAAATTGGTTCTCTCTCAAATGCACACAGATCTTAGGAGGTCAGCACAACTATGCAGATGTCCAAAACAGTCTGCTGCAACTTGCAACTAACTCTGACTTCCGAAAGTAGCCTGAATTACACTGAATCTAACTCTGGAACTCTGTTACTCTGGAAGACATTATCTTCACTGAGGCCAAGTTCTGATCTCAGTTCTTGTCTTGTGTAGTTCTTCCAATAAGCCCTGCAGCACTGAAGGACACACAAGATAGTAACCTCGTGTTAGCAGTGTAAGACATATGATAACTTAGAGATACTCGAAGGACACTCATTTAAAATTCTCATTTACACAGTGATCTTTGATATCACACTGTAACTCACGAGAAAGCGTGCATAAAAGTCAAGATGTGTCCATTCATATCTGATGAGGCTGATACTCAGGCACAAAAGGTGATTATTTTCTTTCAAGTTTTATCAGTCTAGATGACATTCTACAGAACTTAAAATGTCAGAAGTATTTGAACTTTGTGTATAAATTTTATCTTATTAGAGGTATTTAAAAACTACTTGATCTTTAAGTATGATTCAACTGAAATGCATAAACTGCTATACTGAAAAACTATTTGATAAAACTTGTGAAAGTTGAAAATATATTATCCGTTTACCACACAATTGAAATTACTAGATACATATGATCAACTGTGGAAAGACAGTCACCCTCTTTACTGTACTATCACCGTACACTTATGTGCAGTAATGGTGGAAATACAGGCTGAATGCATTCCTAACTCAGTAATAAGTCTCAAATCACAACTGGCTTATACAGACAGCTGCAGAAACACATCCCAGGGGAGGCTAGACTGAAAACACTAACATGCCAGGACATTATGAATTCTGACATGAATATACAGTGTTTCTACAACTTCATACATTGAACTAATTCATTTACAATGTAGCAAAGTAACTTTTTTTTTTTTTTTGCATTCTGTATTGCCTATAAACCTAAGAAAAACATTTTAATTCATCACACTTACCCTCGGTGGCCCAATAATCATTCCTGTCCATCTGGTGAGTGTCATATCTTCATCATCTTCAAGGCCCCAGCTTACTGTACCATCACCTACTCCTTTCTGCCCTTCTTCAAGTTCTTCCAACAAGCGAAAATTACGAGGTACTTTAACTACAGAAAAGGGAAGAATGTAATTAATACTGCTCACATTAAGGAAAAGGTAAACAATTTCATTGCTTTTATATGTTATGCACTAGCAACTGCTGAATATACTTGCAAAGCGAAACAAATATTTCCTGCATGAATTTATTTAGCACTCACATTGTTTTGAAGCAACTAACCACTTCACTGGAAGCTGGTTACTACCAAGTGATAACAATACAAAAGAGAAAATAAGAGAGCTCTCTTTAGTTTGAGATGGCTTAATTAAGACTCTCTTTCCCAAGCACAGTACTGTTCAGAGCCAGTACATTTCAAAATCAATTCACTGCCTGTCAAGTTCTACTCAACTAGAATCCACATAAAATTTACATGGCAAATCCCCTCCAAAAATAATTAAAGAATGCAACATTTAACACAAATGTTCTTAACAAATGTAAACTGTAAAAGAAAGATTGAAACATTTTCACTTGATTTCATCTGATTAAAAAAACACGTTAGTGTCTGAAAACAAACTAAAAATCAAGTCTTTTTTAATCTAGTCATTACTATTCCCACTTACCAGAGAAAAAAAAAATAAGAAGCACAGAAACACTGATTAAGTTGTTAAAGAGAGATAATAACACATTCACAACAGAATATGAAGATGTGCTGCCTCTAAAGAGAGCCAAGTAATATCCAGATACTCTATAAGACGAAAATTCTAAGACTGGGTACATACAAAGCTGTTAGCAAGGAATACATACTACGCAACTTTGAAAAAGATGGGTGTCAAAGAAAATTGTTTCTTGTATCAGTTATTTAGTTGCTGGGATTTCATTACATTAGTTTATATTCCAAGTGGTCTCAAAAGTGGTACACAGAAAGATTACGACCAATATTATACAACATGAATTAGTCCATGCATATGCTTATGGACCAGTAGACGTAAACATACCCCTCAGCAACTATTCAAATAGCTTATCTTGCATCACTATGGTTTCTCTTAAACTGTGTTTAAAACTGTATTTTTTTAAAATAACCCAGACTAGGGAGAGGCTCCTAAAAACTGCAGAAACTGTAGTCTCCAAGTTCTCCAAATTCTCAGGGAAAAGCATTAAGAGTATATTATCAGGACACTGCAAGGAAATGACATCACTCATGTATGGCCTCACCTTCCTTCCTGCTTTAGTATTGCCACCTATCTGAGCCCATAATGCAGAAAACTACACATTTTGGTTAGTCTCCTGACAGCCCAGCTCAGAGAGAGACCTGACAAGTACCAGCACGAAAATGCAGCCATGGCAGCCAAAACTCAAGACAATCTTGATGTAAAAATATGTTTTAATGGAATTTTAAACTCCTCTGGAAGCTTATTTTCACAGCCAAGAGTTAACATATGATTACCTGAAAGTACTAGCACAGTAAGTACATCAAGGAGCTGATCATTTCTCAATACTTTAGCATAGATCCTTTCAAAAAGCTTCATTGAAATTAATTTGTCCATTCCTTTGGTCCCATTCTGACTTATTATTAACACTAGATCTGTACGCTTACATATCTAACTCAGACTAGGGATGAGAACTGACAATCACATTTCTATCATGTTATAGAACACAAGGATTTTACTGTTGCTCCAGATGCATACATGCTCTGGAATGGTGTCTGCCAGTAAAAGGCTAATGTCAATCTTTTTTTAAAAAAAATTACACCAGCAGGAAAAACTTCTACTAACCTTCTTGTTTTGTACCACATGACTGAATTGGTACATGCAGCCTCAAACAAAAAAATCCCACAGACAACCCCCACCCCCAAAGCCCCTGTACTTTAGCATCCAACCATTACCTTAGACTTCCCCAGTGGCTTAAATCCATTTCTCAGAATTCTCACTCTGACTGTGGAACCTCTGATTTATAGTTTACCTCTTTAAAAAGCACATAAAAGATGGCAGCAAACAGTGTTTATTTCTGATCACCTGCTATCACCTTTCAGTGCAGCTGAGGTGATCCAACTGCTCATTGCCAGGCACAGACGTTCCATGCCCTCTCCCAAAACTCTGTTGCTCTTGCACTAACCAGGCTCCTCTATTAGCCAAACTGGCACACTAATTTAGCAAAAAGCTGTTCTTCCTTTAGGCAAAAATAAAATCCAACCAGTTAATCAACTGAATTGACTTAGGAAGAAAGAACAAATGCCAGAGCTGACTGCTGCATCTTTCAGTGCCTTTGCAAAACCATGGGTGTGGGGAGGAGGGAGCTCTTTGTGGCAAAAAGCCATTGGACTGGCTCATTGTATGACAAAATCGTACTCAACACACAAAACTGTAGGAGATGACAGTTACTAGAAAATAACAACCCCTTATGGCTAACTGTCCTGTGTTCATTACATTTTTTCCACTACATGTTGTCTGTGCTCACTAGTTCCCCTAACCACCCAAGGGGAGCAGTGAAAGACTTGCGAAACCTCCAGAACATCTCCAGAAAATAATTTAGATCTGCTCTGAAAAGATACAAAAAGATCTGCCAGCAAGTGCCAGGCTCCCCACACTAACATTTCTATCAGTGCTAGAACTAGGTAGCAAAACACTCCTCTGAAATTAAAAATAAGGGTCTAAACACCCGGTGTTTAAAAACAACAAAAAAACCAAAACCAACCAAACAACAACAACAAAAAACCCCGCACCACCCTACTGAGATTCCAACCCATTAAAAAACTGACAGAAAAAAACAAAATGTTAGTTCTCAACTAAGACTGGACCAAAAATACATCCAAACAGGTTCCCTTTCAGCAAATTACACAGTCCTACAACATTTGGGTAGGGGTCACCAGAAATAATTGTATAAATTAAGATACAACCCCTATTTCGTAAGAGCACTTCTATATTTAAGGTACTTAGCTCACTTCCACAAACACATTCTATTCCATTATTTATGAGTTTATAGGAAATGCACAAGATCTTTCCTTTTATGCAATCTTATATTTAAGATTTGGACAACAACCTCTCACACCCTGTTTCCAAAGAGATACCCTGATTTGTCAACTGACATCAGAGAGTCAGAGCAACAAGCTGTGCACATCTTTATTACGAATGTCTACTAGAGCTTTCTGCAACTAAGGATTACCAGGTCACTATTTCCTAGCTTGGGAAAAAACAAACAAACAAACAAACAAATAAAAAACCAAGCAAGAAACCCCAACCACAACAAACCCCACTAAACTGCTTCATGTCCCTGGTACATATGATTAATGTCAATATTTCAATTTAAGTCACTACTGAATGTTTCATTAGAAACCCATTGCTGATAGATTTCTGATGAGTGACATGGAACACTTAAACAGAGTGGATTAAAAAAAAACCCTCCTTACCCTTATAGTCTTAGAAACTACCAGCAAAATGAAGAGGAATTAAATGCTGACGCTGTCCTGAGCACTCATGCACTCGCACACACTATTATACTCTACATGCTTGCTTTGGTCATACAATAACCTTTATACAATACAAATCTACCTAGCTTGAAGAACAGAATACATGTACAAGATTGATTGTTCTTTCCAGTAAAACAACAGCAAGAATTTCTATCTAGAAGATCAGGTAATGATGGTCTGGATCTCTTTGACATTAAGTTTGCTCCTAGTATAAAGTAAAAAAATCTTGTTTCTCTCACTATCTCATGTATTCCAGAGGGCACAATCTAAATTGTACATTAATGGTGTGCACACAGCTTGCAGTTTGTCTCCAGTCCAGACAATTACAATTCATGAAATATTTGCTAAAAACTTTAAAATATTCCTTGATGGAATCTGAATAAGAATCAGTATTTCATTTACATAATCTGGACGAGGAAACAACATCCTTCTGTTATAATTTGCAGCTCATGAACAACAGGAAATTACAGAAACCACCTCCATTCTTCAGCTGGCTACCAGACCTCACGTGTACCTTCCGGAACAAGTAGTGGCAACTGAAAAGTGCCTCTAGCCTTTCACCACCATGGGCCTGCCAAATATTGTTCTTCCAAATTCCACTTGCTGATGGGACCACTAACTGGCTTCAGACAAGTGCAGACAGGTTGTTCTTACTCCCTGTAACAGGCATCCCTCAGCTAAAAACTCTCTATTCCAAGCCAAGGGGATTAAAGCAGTCATACGATTTTGTCACTGGCAGAGCTGTGATTAACAGCTAGGTACAGAACTGCATCCAGCGCAGCTATCTGCAATGATGAACTAAGGCTCTCCATGTGAAAATACAGCTGCGTTCATCAATATTAAAAAACAAAACAAGAGTAACCTCCTCCCTAACCTCTTCTCAGTTCATCTGTAAAGCTTACCTCACTGCAGATTTTACTGACAAATATCTCCTAACCCCCCAAAACCATATACAGGAACTGTCAAATTCTACTTACAAAGCTTTCACACAGAGTTGAAGTAAATATATTAACTTATACAAACAAACCAAACAACACCCATTCACACTTACATATACCAATAGTTTTTAATTTAGAAGTTGAACCATCAAACTGGACTACAAGAAACTGATACCTATTAGAAATCCATAAAATTAACAGTGAATTTAATACCTTGGAACAATGAGAAAAGAATAAAAGCAGAATCAGTAAATAAAGTACATTGAGCAGGAGGGTCTACTTTCACACATATGGAGCTACTTCAGGCATCAGATTCTAAACTGTCTAATTAACAAAGGTAAGAAGTACACTATCCCACAAGACAAGTTAGAAAAGAAGTTACAGCTGTGCTTTTATCCAGAATCTGCATAACCTCAAGAAACATCAGGGGAAAAAAAAAGGAATCTTCAGTATCCTTTAGGAGGACCAACAACTTTCACTGGACCAATAAAGGGGAATTGTCTGGATGGACCTGCTCTGGCTAGTATGTCAAGACACAGTGCCACAGTTGGTAATGCCAGATCACCCACTAGTACAGACATTTCATCACCATTAAGACAGAACACACAACTGCACTTATGTCAGATTTGACAAAGCCCACTGGCTACATTAAATCACATTTTTAAACTGT